TGTGTGTGTGTGCCATCGAAAATACTGGAGTGCTACATCTTCCCCATATTCTTACTCGTATATGGCGATGAGACCTGAACTTTGACTAACAAAGAAGAAAACATAAAGCTATGCGTTTGAGATGAGATTCTTCGACAGAATGGCCAGAGTAACCTGAGAAACAAAAAAGACGGACAATGAGGTGTGTCACTTTCTCTTCACAAGACAAACCCAGCTGAATTAAACAAAATGTAGAAAAATACAACACTTTTCGAGACCATTGTGAAAGGGGTGCTTGAAGGAAGGATGTAGGGCAGGAGAGCCAGGGGAAAACAAAGAGTCACATTGATGGACAGTATAAACATGGACTGGCCTGGATATAGCAGAATGTGCAACGGCAGTTCGCGACCGTGAAGGAGTATCTTTACGCGTCAATCTTAGAATCAGAGATGACACCTCCAGATGCGTGGCATCGGGGTGAAATCAGGTGCTTGTCAAAGTGTTATAAGACAGTTAAAATACAAAGAAAAGAAAAGGGAGAGCTAAACACGATAGACGTTTTATAAAAAAAGAAGGGGGAAAACCACACCAAAACATCCACTAACCACTCATTCCTTTTCTTTAAAAATAAGAACTGTTATTAAAAAGTCAGAGGACGGGCAGGACCGATAGACAGCAACAACAGAGGGACAGAAGAGGATTAGGTCCTAAAAGTTGTTCCTTCAGACCGCATGTTGAATCATATTATTATCTGAACGAAACAAATCAAAGCTGGAATGTCCAGAAATAACGGGGCCTCCCAATGGAGTGGGCATGTTAGGTAATACACCTCTCGAATATTTTCCTATCGTCCTTCACCTTTCCCTCTAAGCTGCTATCTTCTCGATAAGACAAGAACGCGACTTTCATTACCTGTGTCTACTAAGGCGTATAAATGTGATAAATATGAAACTGTAGAAATTGTACGCCTCTATCGACACAATCTAGACAATTCAGGGGGCGGGCCGATTCAACTCTACCTGTCAAGGCCTAACCAGGCTGAGAAGGATACAACGCCCGAGTAGAAAGACGAAGACACTCGCTAAAATTGATCCCCATACGGGAATCGAACTCGCGTTATCTGCGAGCGACGGCATCTTCGCTGGTGCATTAAGATGTAATGATGAAACACAAAACTAAAAACTAAAAGCTAAGTACACACAGCCCATAAAGGATAAGAGTCAACACAATATATGTATCATTATGCTGAGAAAGCTGTCTCCCCATCCCACAGTAAAATCTTTCATGGTATTAATCTGAAGGTCAAAATAGCAAACTCACTGACCGGTCATTGGTCTATACAAAAGTACAAGGATACAAAAGCCGCCAGTTACTATCGTTGTTATTATGTCAAGGTCTGCCATGCATTAAACCTCCTCTCCACCCCAACCCCCACAACCCACCCCACCCCCACACAAAGCCGCAGGATGAATGAGGGCCAGCTCTATCTTATATCTTCGCAAATAGGAGGGTGTAATATGTGCAGATAAGAAGTAGGGAAACTTTTTTGAAGCCAACATTTTTGTACAAAATTATCATCACTTTATTAAATAAGACGCACCAATTTTTTTCACAACACGTATCATCATCACCTTAGTTAGAGGATGTTCCCCATTTTTTTGTTCAATAATAGATCAACCACACATCAGAATAAAACAAATTAATTTTTTTTAACCAACTTGCTTTTCGTCCGCAAAATTAGATATAGGATGTAAAAATACATATTTTTGTACTGATTTACTGAAATGTGTTCTCTTGTTTGACCCCCAATACTTTTATCTTAATTGGTTTGATTTGATTTGATTTGATTTATTAACTAAGCTATTTGTCTAGCTATTTACTATTTCTTTTTTTTTTTGGGGGGGGGGGGGGCGAATTGTTTGTTGCTTTTTGTTTCTTTTTTTAGGGGGGGGGGGGGAGGTGATTTCTTATTTTGTGGGTAAGAAACAGGGAACTTTGAAGCCCTAATTTTTAGGTAAAAAGTTGCGTCTTTTACGCAATGTTATAAGGTAATTTCGTTTAACTGCACACCGGTTTTTAATTTTAAATAACTTTTCCAGCGTGCTCCCAAACTGTGAGTACAAGTTGCTATCTTAGAATTACAATGTTCTAACTGACATTTTTTACCCATTTTGAGTTACTAAGACCATGAAGTCAGACACCAAATATTCTTTCTGCTCTATCAAAATCATAAGATGTTTTGGGGACGTTATCAAGGTATTTAAAGAATTGCATTCGCAAAATCTTGACATATTGTGAAACTAAAGATTTTGACGGCAGATTTCTCAAAATTAGGTCCTGAGCAAGTACACCTTTTTAAATTCCAGAATCTTTGCCACTATGTCAAGGTCTGCCGTAATTACATTAGACACTTAACTCACCCCACCTATTTATGTGGTTTGAGGGGTTAACTTTGATTTACTGCAAACCTGAACAGATTTTCTAGACTGTTCCTAAACAGTGTGTATTACTAGCTCTTTCTAATCGGATATGGTCGTTTCCCTGTCGGTGCTGCAAAGGAACGAACTTTTAACCTCAGGGGCATTTGAACTCACCTCTCTAGGATCAAGGCGAGCCCACACACCGCCCCGGCCACCGCCGGTATGTAGCTGGGTAGGGGCGGGGGGAGGTGCGCCAGGTCTCGGAGTACACAGATGGTCAGTTTGGCCAGTGAACACATGACGCCGAGGAAGGCAGTGGAGATGACCATGTTCTTGGCTAGAGACCGCAGGACGTACCATGGTCTGAGGATCGATCGATAGATAGATAGATAGATAGATAGATAGATAGATAGATAGATAGATAGATAGATATAGACACACACAGACAAAGAAAGTGAGAGGGAGAGAGAGAGAGAGAGAGAGAGAGAGAGAGAGAGAGAGAGAGAGAGAGAGAGAGAAAGAGATACACACAGACACACATGAGCACTCAGGCAAACGCGTGCCGCCAAGGACTGCCGTAAGATCTCAGTACATACTACGGTCCGTGAAGTGATATAATATACGCATGCACACACACACACACACACACATACACACACACACACACACACACACACACACACACACACACACATCACACATACACACATACACACACACACACACACACACACACACACACCCTCTCTCTATCTAACACACACACACACACACACACACATCACACATACACACACGTCAGAGTGAGATGATTATATTCTCGAAGAAGTACATCAACACAAGAGTACAGTGAACAGTTCATCTCCCAACACCTCCCGACCCGATTCGATCCTGCATGCAGATCGGCTTTACAATTTGACCAAGTAGACATCCCTTCACAATTACTGACCTCTCTTTGAGAACCTTCCTCTTGAAGAGCAGGACGGGGGTCAGGTGGATGGGCAGGTAGAGTTTGGCGAAGCCGGGCAGAGAACGTAGACAGTCCTCAAACCTTTGTCGGACGCAAGGACCCTCGTGCAGGCCTGCCTCCTCACACGTTAGGAAACGGTCTCCCTGAACCCTGTGGTATGTTGTAAGGGTGAGTAGACCTATGTTACGCTCTCATCGACCCTGTAACGGTTAACCCTGGCTCTTTTGTTTGTTTGTTTGTTTGTTTGGTTGGTTGGTTGGTTGGTTGGTTGGTTTGTTGGTTAGCTGGTTGGTTGGTTTGTTGGTTGATTGGTTAGTTGTCGTTTTTTTGTGAGTAAAGAGAAACGCGTCGATACAATACTGGTAACTTAGTTTGAGTAAAGAGAACTACGTCAAAGAAAATAGCTGTCATTTAGTTTGTTTGAGTGAAGAGAAGCACACTAGCATAAAGGTGTTTATTTAAATTGATTGCATAAAGAGAAAAATATATCGACACAAAAAACGATCATTTCTTATAAGCTTTTTTTAGTAAAGAGAAACACATCGACACAATAACGGTCTTTTATTTTTTTGAAGATAGAGAAACACATTGACAAAATAACGTATGTTCGATGCCAGGGAGGGGCACGACAATCAGACAGGAACAAGAGATGGATAGAAAAGAAGTATAAGAATAAGACGTGCCTGAGGCACCCTCCAACCCCCCCCCCCCCCCCCCCAGATTGGACAACTCCAGGATGAATGCAATTTGCTAGCGGCTTATCCTAGCCATTGTTTTAAAACCACAATCACAATGTTAGTGTACCTTTATTATCATCATCATCATCATCATCATCATCATCATCATCATCATCATCATCATCATCATCATCATTATTATTATTATTATTATTATTATTATTATTACTATTATTATTATTATTTCGACCTGCTTGTTCGCGAGGAGCTCAACTGAATGGAACTTAGAATCCACTATCGCTTTTGTCTGTTTTGCTTTTCACTGTTTCGGACTTCTTAAGCGATTGCAGTTAATTATTTATACGCATAAACAGACACACATTCTCCAACTGGTTACTGTACCCGAAGGCTGGTCAGAAATGGAAATGCGCAGATTATTATGAAAAAATCTGTTTGAATTTAAACAGTGAGACGAAAACAAACTTATGAAATTTAAACAGTGAGACGAATACAAACAAGCAAACAAACAACAAACAAGTAGACACACTATCGTATGTCCATACCTGAACAACTTCTCTAGTTTCTCATCTGAGTAGTCCCTGGACCACTTGACGATGGACCTGTAATAGCCTGGTGTCAGGTACTGGGGTTTGAGGGCTGTACAGTACACGATGACGCTCACGCATGCGCAGAACACCCACACTTCCAGGAAGGGCAGAGTACCAAGGTGACCTGGGAATTTGAGCAAACAACAGTATAATACTGTTTTTTTAAGGTTTGTATCTATGTACATTTATTTATTTATCTATTTGTCTTATATATTTCATTTGTTAGTTTGTTTGTTTATGTGTTTGCCGACTTCTTTGTTTGTTTGTTCTGGGGTGTGTGTGGGGGGGGGGGGGGGAAGAGACGAATGGAAAACACTAGTATTTATTACTCTATTAGTTGTTATTTATATTTTTTGTATATGTTTATTTGGGTTTTTTTCATCATCTATTCTTTGGGGGTGGAGTGGGTTGTAGCACAGTTATACTACCGGTACCCTCTGTATTATAATGCCATTTGGAAGGCAGGGAAAGGAGAGGAGGAATAATGGGGAACTACAGGGTCGAGAGACAGAAAGAAAGAGAGATAAAGAGAGAGAGAGAGAGCGAGAGAGAGAGAAAGAGAGAGAGAGAGGGGGAGGAGGAGCGTGCACGTATGTGTGTGAGAGAGAGGGAGAGAGAGAGAGAGAGACAGAGAAGAATGGGGGAGAAGGAGAAGAAAAAAGATGAGAGAGAAAGAGACAGACAGACAGGCAGACAGACAGACAGACAGACAAGAAGACAGACAGACAGACAGACAGACAGACAGACA